AAGTGAAGTTTGAAGACGTCGTGAAGTTTGTTGGAGATGAGGCTAGGATAGCAGCCAATCCCACCTACGGTCGTCTCATGTACAGTCGCGACAACAGCGCAGTGCTCCCCTCCCAAGGCAGAGCAGGCAGCAGCAGTGTGAGGCGCACCAGGCCCGTTGTTGCAGCCGCCCAAACCCAGAATCAGGCAGCCTGCGTGTTCTGTGACGTTATAGGGCACGTCACAGCCGACTGTGAGCAGCTTCGAGCTACTTCACCGGAGCAGAGAAAGGCGTTCGCAATGAGCAGGTCCCTATGTTTCTCTTGCTTAAGACAAGGTCACATGAGCGCCGATTGCCGAAGACGAGCTGAGTGCAGAATATGCAAAAGACGTCATCCGACTGCGATGCATCTGGAACGCCCACAGAGAGAGAACCGAGACCAAGGACGTCATGAACTCGCCATTCAAAGTCGTGGCCATGAAACTGGACCACCGAGAGAGACAGTTCAGCCACCACAAGAGAGGACCGGTACTACTGGTGCGACAGTGTGCGGAACTGCAGGAGCGGAAAACTCAGATCGGCCCACACTACCCCTGGTCCCAGTCATCGTCTGTAACGGCAACATAAAGATTAAGACATTCGCATTCCTCGACAGTGGGTCTACCCATTCGTTCGCTACTGAAAGCTTGATGGATCAACTCGGCATTAAACAACAGCCCAGCAGGCACCTGACCATCACGACTGTGGCTCAGGAGGACATCAGCATTCCAACACGGGAAGTAGAAGGACTTCACATCACGGACCTGTGCGGAGATAACAGAATGGACTTACCAAAGCTCTTCAGCATGGAGAATATACCTGCCGACCCAAGCGACTACCCCAAGACAGACGATGTAAGAAGATGGGATCACCTCAGATATTTAGAGCTACCAGAGCCCGAGATAAGTGAAGTTGGATTGCTCTTGGGAGCAAATGCGTTCCTAGCCATGGAACCAGTGAGAGTGATTCCAAGTGTAGACGGAAGCCCATACGCGGTGCTGACTAGATTTGGTTGGGTGGTCAGCGGTCTTGATTCACCATCACGAAAGTCGCACACCACAGTGTGTAGAGCGGCTGTAAAAGACGAGAGAGCGTCCATCGAAGAAATGGTGCGTAACATGTACGACAGCGAATATGAGGAGAAACTGCACTGCACAAGAAGAGGCCTATCAGTGGAAGACAAAGAATGGGTTCAAAAAATTGAATCCTCAATGGAGATGCAAGAAGGCCATTACAGCGCTGTTTTGCCAACAAAAACGCCAGAAGAGAAGATGCCAGCGAATGTGAAGATGGCCGAAAACCGACTGGAGCATCTCCGATCACGACTGCGAAAGGATGCAAAACTTGCTGAGGACTATAAAGGCTTTATGGAAGAAATGATCAACAAGGGGTATGCAGAAGAAGTGCCGGAAGAAGAACAGAGAAAAGCAGATGGACGAGTGTGGTACCTGCCACATCACGCAGTGTATCACCCGACAAAACCTGACAAGATACGCGTTGTCTTTGATTGCGCAGCAAGATACAATGGCGTATCACTCAACGACATGCTCCTGACTGGTCCAGATCAGACGAATTCATTGGTGGACGTGCTGCTGCGATTCAGGCTAGAACGGGTGGCGGTCACAGCCGACGTTGAAGGAATGTTTAACCAAGTGAAGGTCGATGGAGCCGATCGAGATCTCATCAGATTCCTCTGGTTTGAGAACGGAGACATCAGTGGTCGCGCTCGTCACTATCGAATGACGGTCCACTTATTTGGGGCCACAAGCTCACCCAGCGTAGCATGCTATGCTTTAAGAAAGACTGCAGCCGACGCGGGTGACGACTTCTCGCAAGAGTGCGTGACAACTGTCAATGAAAACTTCTATGTAGATGACGTGCTACGATCAGTTCCGACAGACGAAGAGGCCATCACTCTAGCAAACGAACTAAAGGACCTGTGCAAACGGGGAGGGTTCAATCTGACTAAATTCGCATCGAACAGCCCAGCCGTGGTAGAAGCCATCGAAAACGAAGACAGATCGACTGAACTGAAGAAATGGTCTGGCCTCTGGGATGAGCTGCCGACCGAGAGGATGCTCGGGGTGATATGGCACCCAGAACATGATCTTCTGAAGCTGTCTCCACAAATAAAGAGCGCGAAGGTGAAGACCTGCTCAAGACGTGGTTTGCTTTCTGTGGTGAGCTCGGTATATGACCCGCTAGGTATGGCTGAACCGACCGTGATACAGGGACGTCGTCTCCTGCAAGAGTTGACCCGGAAGCAGATGGACTGGGACGCTGAACTGGAAGAAGAGGACAAACTAGCTTGGAATGGCTGGCTTTCGACTCTGGAAGGCTTGGACAGTCTGAGCATCTCGCGATGCATAAAGCCTAGGGACTTTGGGAGTATCACCACTTGTCAGATACACACGTTCGTCGACGCGAGCGAGGCAGCTTACGGCGCTGTGTCATACATCAGGCTGGCGAACGCTGCCGGTGCCGTTCAGGTGAGCTTTCTGAAAGGGAAGGCACATCTGGCTCCTCTTAAAATGGTAACAATCCCACGACTCGAACTGATGGCCGCTGTGACGGGCGTGAGACTCAGTGCACTGATCCTGGGTGCATTGAAGATCCAGTTGGAGCGCTTGTCGTTTGAAGTAGAAGAGTTCTTCTGGACAGACAGCACTACGGTGCTGAGATACATCAACAACCGCAAAACAAAATTTCACACATTCGTTGCGAACAGACTGGCAATCATACATGACGGCTCACACCCTGCTCAGTGGAGGCATGTGCCCAGCTCTCAAAATCCGGCGGACGATGTGTCAAGAGGAACTCAGAGCGACAGGTGGCTGACAGGGCCAGAATACCTCTGGAAAAATGAAACTCAGTGGCCAGAAACGCCTCAAGCGTTACAAGACACGACAGATGACCTGGAGGTCAAGAAGACGACTGTGTGTGCAGCGAAGGCTTATGATGCGACTCAAGAAGATGATCTTCAAAACCCACTGCTGAAACTCACTGCACACTACAGCGACAGGCACAGGCTTCTCCGAGCAGTAGCGTGGATCTTGAAGGTGAAACAGGAGTTGATTCGTCGAAGTAAGGAGGAAGGAGTCACAACGCAAAGGAAGACGATTTTGCTGGAAACTCAAGACATCCGAGAAGCAGAGAGAGCTATTATGATGAGCATACAGTCCGCTGCGTTTCCAGAGGAGGTGGTGGCCTTGAACTCAGGCAAAGACATTCGTGCAACGAGCAAGCTCAGCAAACTTAGCCCCTTCCTTGAAGACGGCATCATCCGAGTCGGCGGAAGACTGCAACATTCAGCTCTTGAATATGATGCTAAGCATCCAGTCATTCTCCCGAGTCATGCGAGCTATGTGAAGCTACTTGTCGAGGACGTCCACAGACGAACAGGACATGCTGGCCGACAGCATGTTTTGGCAGAACTAAGGAAGAGGTTCTGGATTTTGAAGAGCACATCGGCTGTCAAGAGAGTGCTTAAATCGTGCTTCACCTGCAAGCGGCTACGTGCAAAAACGGAAAAACAAAAGATGGCAAATCTTCCAGACGACAGGATCACAGCGGGGGAGCGACCGTTTACAAGAACTGGGGTAGACTACTTTGGACCCTTCTACGTCAGTCAAGGTCGAGGACAAGTTAAGCGATATGGTGTTATTTTCACCTGCCTATCAGTGCGCTGCATACATATTGAAGTGGCTGAGGATCTGTCATCGGACTCGTTCATCTGTGCGCTGAAAAGATTTGTAGCTAGAAGAGGGAACGTCAAGACCCTGAGATCAGATCGAGCAACAAACTTTGTTGGAGCCCACAGAGAACTACGTGAAGAGCTGAAGCGGCTGGAGGAAAAGGAAGAGTGGGTGGCAAAGGAGATGCTAGCCAACGACATTGACTGGAAGTTCAACACTCCAGGAGCGTCTCATCATGGTGGAGCCTGGGAACGAATGATTAGAACAGTTAGACGGATTCTGGACACGATGCTCCACGCGAAAACACTGAAGAATGAGACGCTGCAAACGTTCCTGTGTGAAGCCGAGGCGATAGTGAACAGCCGGCCTCTGGTCTCGCCATCGAGTGACCCCCTCGACGCTCCGCCCCTCACTCCAAACGACATACTCTTACTCGGGGCCAGTTCCGGAACGACACCCTTGAATGTCTTCTCGGCATCTGACAATGACAAACGGAAAATGTGGAAACAGGCGAGCTATATGGCAGATGTGTTCTGGAAGCGCTGGCGTCGAGAGTACGTTCCACTGCTCCAGCAGCGGTCCACCAGCACCGCTACGGCCAGGCAAAACCTGGCTGTGGGCGATTTGGTATTGATGGCTGACGACAGTGTGCCACGGGGCCAATGGCCCATCGGTAGGGTCGAGTCAGTCAAGATGTCAAAAGACGGCTTAGTGAGATCGGTGACTCTGAACATCAGAGGTGTTACAGTGCAACGTCCGATTACCAAACTTGTGAAAATGTAATAAGTGTTGTGTATGACTACTGTGTATGTCATGTCGTAGGTACCTTGCGAATGTAAATGTTGAAAGAGTTCTTTCAAGGGGAGGGTGTTGAATATTCTACCGAGAGCGCTCCCGGAAATGATCACGCGAGCGAAGTGTTTTAATTGTTGTAAATATTTTGATTGAAGAAAGGTCAAGGTTTTAGTTAGTTAGTAAGGAGGACATAAACTTCGTAACGGGGAAAATATTAAGGAAATAGCAAATGTGAAACATTTAAGCGAAATATTCATATAATGTAGACAGTGCATAATACGATAAGGAATTGCTGGTGACCACGATTGAAACGGTAATGTTTTGCGTTAAGATACCGCCTATGAGTGTGTCACTCAAGCAATAAACCCCGTAGAAGATGTCCTTTCTTTCTCTATGACTCAAGAAGACTCCGACTACAAGAAAATATAAAGAAACTATATATTTATAATTAACGGTACCAGAAGATCCCTCCAGGGAATTAACAGCTAGTAAGTCGAAAAGTTGATCGAGTGAAAGCTCACGTATATGGGGGGGGGGGGGGGGCGAGGACGCACTCTATAAGACTGTGTCAGCACATCCGAAAATGCCCACATGGGTCCCAGAATACTTTGCCGAGGGTGATCCATTTATTTTGCGTTTTGTACGTGCATTAGAAAGGTCGACCGATTCCATTACAATCTTCTTGAACTCAAATGTGCAAAGAAAAAAATCACGATTTCATTGTAAGGCATTCATAAATATGTGAGGCTTGGCGCCATGCATATGCTGTGGCATTGCTCTACAATTTTTTTGTCAAGCAATTTTGCCTGATTAAGAACGCCTTGCGCCCGGCGTGCGTCTTGCTTCACAGCTCGCAGCTTCCAGTGGCTCGATTAACACGTGGGCCAAACTGTAATAATGCCTAGTACGGATGTAGTTGTGATCATTTTCGTGTATGCCACCTCGCGCTGGGACACTTGCGTGGCTTTTTGCGGCTTTTGTTCGAGACATCACTGACGTTCATGCGATGTTGCTTGTCAGTGTTGGGAAGTAGTTTTCGAGCACGAGTTTGGAAAATATCAGAATGGTTAAATTCGTTACGGAGACCTAAAGAGGATGTTGTATGCTAATTGGGAGGCGATATCCATACTTGTCAACAGTCAACGCTATCTACCAGATTTAAATGAATGAGATTCACTGGTCATCTAGTATAGCTCAGTAAATAGCTCGCTGATACTGAGGAAATGTACTTGTACTGGTGGCATTCTAACGTCGAACTGATAACATCTGTTGTTAAATTTCAGGTTGAGGACAAGTGCCAGGGGAAGTACATCGTGTGTTTCGATCCGCTGGATGGCTCGTCCAACATCGACTGCCTGGTCTCCATCGGATCTATCTTCGGCATCTACAAGTAAGACAGGCGTTTGTTTTTGCCGGGGTTTAGAGGTTCTTTGATCGCGTTGCATCCACTGTGCGTCTAGCTACAGGTGTAAAGACGACTGTGGCGTACACCTCTAAACCCGAAGATGTTGAAATTGTTTGAAAATGTATTTATTGTGGGTTTTATACTTGTTCCTTTCACTCTCTTGTACCACGGAATCGTAGCGGGATCATTCCATGATGAGTTATTTCTTTTCACCTTTACCCGACATCCGAACCCCTGCAGTCATACCTATGCATCAATCGAACACATTAGTTGTAGTTAGGCTGCGTTTTGGGAGCAAAAGAACCATAACCATTGGATGTCGGATCATCGTGCTTACCGTGCCGTTGTTGTGGAAACGCTTAGGAATGTACGAAATGGGGGCTGTTCGTCATATCGTATCGAACAGCTGAGCCCAATTAAACAACAGTGGCACAGTCGGTCTATCATGCCCCTTGCCAATCGCTGGGGAGCCGGGCCGTTCGGAACGGATGACATCAGACTGGCGGCGCGCTGTCTATCGTTGTCATCTGTGCGCCGTGTGGCGGCTGCCGACCACTGCATATTGCGCGCCAGCTGGCCCGCAGCCTGTGTCGGTGAGCATACCTAGACAGCGGTGGAGCGCCGCCGGGGTGGGCGGCGGAGCCGGGCCGAGAAAGCGCCGGTCGGCCGGCGGTGGCCGAGCTACCCGGCACCGGTGGTATGTGAACTTTGGGCCGGCCTAGCGCCGGAGATCCAGCCACTGACACCACCCCCGGCGGAGCGGCTGTTAAACAGCGCTCCGGTTGCGCAACACGGCTGATGAGTGATGAAACAAGGCAGCGATATCCCTACAAACGTCAACATTTCCCTGGTCTGTCGTCATGGATCCAGTGTTTATTTATAACTTATTTTTCGAAGGATAGTGCGTATCGCGCTGAAGCCTGAACGGGACCGAGTTCATTACGTCTGCCCCTTCCGCTGGAGAGCGGCTGTTTTTCGTCCCTGTCCGTTTCTAGTGCCGTCCGCGCCGCGCTTGGCCGCCTCACACTCCCCGTTCCGCCGGCCAGTCCAACGCCGGTTAATGGTCCCTGGAATACGGGAGGGCCTGCCGGCGGGGCGGCGCATGCGGCATGGAACGCCTGTCGCAATCGTTTCTGGTCGGACTGGCTGGTGAGCGGCGGGGGATGGGATATTGGCCAGACAGGCTGGCCGTCATCATGACACGCTCGCCTGCAGAGGCGGCGATGAGTGTACTGAATGGGAAGGTCAATAGTGAGCGAGGGCGAGATTGGTTGAGCTCAAAGCTATAAATTTATACTAGTTATAGTGACAAGAGTAGTCTTTGTAAAGGGATTATCCTGGAACTATAGAGCAGCATAAATTTTATACCTAAAATGCCATTGCATACACTTTTGTAAAGTTTAAGTACCGACCCTCTGTAGTGAAAAGGTACAGGTAGTTATTTTGTTGGCCGCCTGGAGCGTTTCCAGATGTCATCCTCGACATTGACCGGATGCACATATCGCCACGCTAGCAGTGGCCTGGACTTTGAGTTCGGAAGTCCTCCCAGTTGTTATCTCTCCTCACTTTTTCCTTCCGACCCTTGAGCTAGTGGAGAACGGACTTTCGTGAACCATGGTTCCAGCTAAAAACAACGTAAACAAGCGTGACCTACATAAGCAGTGTATCGGAGGCTGAGCACCACAAGAGCCGCGGAGGGCAATGCTCTTTGTCGCCATGTTTGGGTTTAAGTAGCCGGGTTTTCCGAGCACCACGGCTTGTGATTGTGAAACTCACGTTATGTCTACTGTTACTTCATGATCGCATCAAGGCCCTGGCGTTTGATTTTCGAGGCCCCCTGATAGGAACGGCCTGCCGTGAATTGTGACAAAGCATCGCTCATTTGAAGTGAATAGGATGTAGGTTATGTTCTTCAAGGATGCTTGAGAAGACTATCCCTCCTTTTTACGAGCAAAATATTTGCTTCAAAACTCGACTGTTCGGAATTTCCTGTTTGAACCCCAGTGGTCAAGTGGCCCGTTTTCCAATCCCGGAGACTGGTTTCGTTTCTGTTCTGCCGGTCTGACCATGCCTTCTTGCTCCCTATCTGACCCTGTCCCCACTCCCCGGCGCCCGTCACTACCGGCCTGACCCTGCCCCCTCTTACCCCACAGGCGGACCACCGACGGCGCTCCGACCGTGGGCGACACGCTGATCCCCTCCCCTCGCCACCGGTCTGACCACCCCTCGCCACCGGTCTGACCCTGCCTTTACCGCCTCACAGACGGACGTCAGACGGTCCTTCGACCGTGGACGACACGCTGATGCCCTGACCCTAACCTGACCCCAATCTGACCTCCCCTTACCCCACAGGCGGACCACGGACGGCGCTCCTACCGTGGGCGACACGCTGCAGGCGGGCCGCCACCTGGTGGCCGCCGGATACGCTCTCTACGGTAGCGCCACCATGATGGTGCTCAGCACCGGACAGGGAGTCAACGGATTCATGCTCGACCCGGTATGACGGACGGGCGGAGGTTGGGGGACGGGGAGGTGAGGGATGGGGGAGACGAAAGGCTGCGGAGTGGGCAGGGAAAGGGTGGGATGAGAGGGAGGGTTCGGTCAGATTTAGGGGACATTGTGATTTGTGGGGGACGCTATGGAACACACATTGTCAAAAAAAATCACCGTATGTGATCAGTTATCGGCATACGTGATTAGACATTACACAGGTTTTTACTCACTTGTGTTACGAACGTCGTTTTGTTTGTTGTACGTCGCTGATTAGACAAATCTACGGGAAAAGTATGCATCATATAAACTTAAGCACTTGAATAGCGTGTATTTTGCGAGCTTTTTGCTCCTAGCTCTAGTTTGTTATTCCACCTGTATGCTCTTGCTTCTCAGCACGTACAGAACTGCGTTGTTAACTCACGTTGAACTATAGAACTACGCATAGAATTACGTTGTTAACTCACAAAGGTGGTTGGAGTGAAATGCGAGTTATTAAACCAGTGAGGATTGTTACATTTGGCTAGTGTTTCTTTTCCTCCAAGACCAGGCTGACTGACCCCGTCCCCGTACCCGTCAATCTCTGCGACAGGCCATCGGTGAGTTCGTGCTGACCGACCCCAACATGCGGATCAAGCCCCGCGGCAAGATCTACAGCTTGAACGAGGGCTACGCCAACAAGTGGGACGACGCCATCCGCGAGTACGTCAACAGCAAGAAGCAGGGACCGGTGAGTGAGTCCTCCTGTCCGGGGGATGGTAATAGATGGGGGGGGGAAGTAGATCATAGGAAGAAGACAGTGTCACCCGCGCCAAGACTGGGCGATCTTGACGCAGGTGGTACAGTCGTGTACAGGTTGATGGTCCGCTACTCTTTATCTACCGGGTTCCTATGGCTCAGCATTGGCAGCAGCCGCCTGGTACCGGTATGCTGTGCCGCATGACCCGAGAGTGAAGCGGCACAGCCTACCCACACTGTATGACACCGGCTCGGGTCGCCTGGTAGACCGGACGCTGCGTTACACCGGCTGGGGGGAGGAGGGGGGGGGGTAAGGGTCAGGCCTGTCGATTTGGCTCGGCTCGGTGGAGAGGCGGGCTGGAGTGTGGTGTGGGGCGGGGGTGATGTGGGGAGGGAGTGAGCGGACCTGGGGCTGGGTGTGTGTGGTCACTTGTCGCATAGAACGATCGTAATCCACCCTCCAAAAATTCGCTTTAGAGATATTCACAAAACCCAGGGGGGTCCAAACACCCATCTCCCAAATGGGGTGCGGAAGGACAAGTAAGGGTCCACGGTCTCCTCATGAATTGCAGCAAAGAAAGAAAACAGACCTGTCACCAAATAATCTTTCTGAAGAGTGGACTAATGGCAAAGCCTCCCACACAGAAATAAACATCCAGCACGCGATGCGTCTCGAACCGGGCCTCTCACTACCGGTCAGTTTGACAGTCTAGCACTCCTACGCCGAGCTACACCGGATGGTGGCCGCGTCCGGGTCAAAGTCTGGCCGGGCGGGCGGCGGGGCCGGGAGGTCGGCAGCAAAGTCAATGAATGTTTTTTGTGGTTTCGGTTGCCGGTTGCTTTAGCTTGGTGGAATGATGATGGATCATTAACAAAACTTTCGACGTGGAGTCCCGGTTCGAGCCTCATCGGGGCTCCGGATACTTTTCCGAGTTAGGATCTGGTTTGATTTTAGTGGTTGCGAGCCATTTATACGGTTTTATACCTAGGCATGTCAATTGTCGATTGATTGATTGATTCATTCGTTCGTTCATTTAATACATGTCGACATTTAGCATACGAATTGACATCCAGGATCAATCTACCAGTTTCATAAACGTATTGCCTAAATATCATGCATATATGTGGCACAAGACCTATGGTTGCCTCGATACCGTGCCAAATCACGTTTTGCACAATGCACAAGTAAAATAAATTATGTATATTCGCTGGGTCTTCCGTGCATTGCGCTTAGCAAAAACAGGGATGCAATTGTTAAGCGACGCAAAATGTGCAATGCAGCAAGTGACGACACACACCCGCCCAGCCCCCATGGTCCACCAACACGCCCCACACCACTCGCCCAGCCCACGCCAACCACCGAGACGAGCCCCTCCCCCCGCGCTGGTCTGACGCAACAGCTGGTCTACAAAGCGATCCACCCGGCGACCCGAGCCGATGTCAAACGGCGTGGGTAGACTGTGCCGCTTCACTCTCGGGTCATGCGGCACAGCCTACCGGTACCAGGCGGCTGCTGCCAATGCTGAGCCATAGGAACCCGGTGGATAAAGAGTAGCGGACCATCAACCTGTACACGACTGTACTCTGTCCACTGGCTATTGGTTGTCTCCCTTGCCTCGAATGGCGAGCGTCCTTCTACCATCCGCCAGCTATCTCCCTCGCAGTCCACCACACGCAGTGCTCAAACAGCGACGGTTCCCTTTCTGCCTTAAGCTTCGTTAGTTTCCAAAACAGCTTAGTGTTCCTGCCTATCGATTTATACACAGCACCTAGCTAGGGGACTGTGTAGGAATGGGACACTTTTTGACAAAACTTGACCTTTCTCCCATACATACTCCGACTCCGTATGCATTACATGGGTCAGTTTCGTTTTATTTCCATGAATGTTGGAAAGGGGTGTTGCATGCTAACGTTTTTATATATGTCATGATGACCAGTCGTTTCTCAGGGACTCTTGCTTTTATGTTTGACGTTATGTTGGCGACCCACGTGCGATAAACACTTTACCTAGCGAGGTAGCGGTGCAGCCGCGGCAACCGCCACACAGTAATCAGTTGTGTCGTGCCGAGCACGTTTTCTATGTCGTGAATTGGGGGACCCGCGACAGTAGCTGGTAAATGGCAGTGGCAGACATGAATGATTTATAAGTAATTACATCCATTTCTTTCCTTTCGTAAACATTGCTTCGTAACGTCGTAAATATTGAGCCTTTGCGTTGTTTTCGTTCCGTTGTCTAGGACGTTACCAAGTGACAATTTTTTTTTTTTTGGGAGGGGGGTCTTATGCTTGATTTAGACAGTGCATAGGTGAATGAGCAAGTTTTTACGCATTTTATTAGGACCAGAAAAAAGGTCTGGGATTATATTCTGGAGCCGGTGCGGATTTCTCTGTAGGTGGACTAGTGTCAGTAGTGCCTCTGTTTGACTTCCTTCCCCCGCCTGTGTATCCATCAGAAGCCGTATGGTGGCCGCTACATCGGCTCGATGGTCGCTGACGTGCACCGCACGCTGAAATACGGCGGTATCTTCATGTACCCAGCCACGGCGGACGCGCCCAAGGGAAAGCTGCGCCTCATGTACGAGTGTAACCCGATGGCCTTCATCATTGAACAGGTGAGCTATGGTGAGGGAGGAAGAATTGGAACGATCGCGCCGCCATTGCTGGGAGGGGGGAGGGGGGTATGAAGGAGGAGAAGGGCGCCCGTGTTTGATTTTTTCGAGAGCTGAGCAAAGGCTGAGGAGACACATAATCGTCATTTCATTTCTCATTTCGCCTACCGTAAGCTCATTGCCAGCCGCCGCGCACGTAGAATGGGACTGTGCGTTAAAACATGCTCGGAAGGAGCGCTTTCGGACATGGCTAGTGGAATGAAGCCGATTGAAAATTTTCGCTCGTGGAACACGTGACTCGGAAGTAGTTACCTAGTGACGGGCGCGGGCGCTCACGTGCAAATTGCCGTTAACTCCAATGCTGTCGGGAACAACGTGCCCCGTTACGACCTAAAAGTATAACTGCCTGCTGGCTAAAAACCCAGACAAATAAGTAAACATTGACATGACAGAGCCAGCCTTAGCAACTGGGCCGCTGCATTGGGGCACACATTGCCCGGCTGGGTGGGTGTCGCCTCCTCATACAGCCACTGGTCACGCGCATCACGCCACGGAGGCGTGATCGAAACTTTCAGTTGGATGTCGTTTCCCATTCACATCGACAAATTCCGGGACACCGCAGCAATAAGGTGTAAAAAACGCCGGATCTCATTTATCAATCACCAACACTGCCAACTGCTCGAGTGGCAGTCTCAGGCATAATTCTCAGCCGAACTCGGCCGGCGACGTTCGGGGAAGCAGTGTCAAACTAGGAAACTCTGTGTATGAGATGCAGTACCCTGTATCAGAATGTCCCGTTTGGCCTCCGTATCCAGCCCCTGTGTGTGTAGATAGACTACCTAATCTACACTCCTTCTGACGTTCTGCTTCGTTCGCAGGCCGGCGGCAAGTCGAGTAACGGCTCGGTGAGCATCCTGGACATCCAGCCGGAGGCGATCCACCAGCGGTCGCCCATCTTCTTGGGCTCCTCAGAGGACGTGGAGGAGGTCCTCGCCTGCATCGCCAAGCACAAGCAGTAGCCGGCCGGGCGGCGAGGCCAGGACGAGGCCAGTCGGGCCGAGACGCGGTGGTTGGGCTCTGTTGGACGGAGGTGGCAAAATGATATTTTGATAACCAGTATATTGTGGATGTTATTCATTCCGATTGTTTTGAATGAATTTATTCTAGAGCACGCTATGACCGTTAGGAATGGAAGTAGAGTTTGAAATACACGGGACTCGCACTATTTGTACTTTTTTCTCTGAATCTTATGAAAATCTCATGGTTTCACTGAGTGGTGTGTCAAATTGAATGAACCAGAGGCCTCTTGCACCAAAATCCTCTTGCACCAATGCTTGGATTATTTTGCATCTAATACCCAGTCCAAGTCTCAAATGTAACAATTTGCATGCAAAATTTAGCAAGCATATGTAGGATTATGTATTGGGCTATTGCAAACAAATTTACCACCGTTGGATTATATTATTCTGAAAACGGTTTTTCGATTTTACCTAGCTAGGTAGTTTGGTGCCTGGTCTGAAAAAGAACACAATTGCAGTCACCTCTCTTTTCTAGAGGAGGGTGGTAAGACTGAGGTGATGTGGTTGCATGCTATGTGTATGGAATTTTCGATCCATTAAATATCCATACTGTACAAAATTGCCATGAATAGTCACAATTCACTTTACCATTAAAGGATATATCACAGCTTATGAACTTTGACGCATTATAATATCTTTTACATAAGGCCATGTCCACAGCGTCGGTGCCAGTCACTGTGTGTTTTTTGTGCGTTTTTAGGGGGGGGGGGTGTAAGAGCAGTCCATCCACTGCACTGAGGCTAGTAAGGAGGCGGCGGTGTTGTGCGGGTGCGCCCGTGGCCCGGCAACGGAGCTGTGACCCGCGGTCGATGGTGGCCACAGCGGGGGGACCCTCGGCGGCTCCTTCACTCGGCCACCATGTCTCACCACGCGCGGCTGTGTCTGCCGCTGCTGGTGATGGTGATGGTGATAGCGGGCTCTGCCACTGCTCTGACACCACTGGAACGCTTCACCGCCCGTCTGGCCAGCGGTGAACTCCGCCTGCCACCTCAGGCGTACCGGATGAGTGAGCTCGGCGAACACAACGGAACCCTGCCGACCGACCTGGTGCTGGCCACGGTGAACGATGTGCTGGAGCCCTCTTGTCGCCATCTGTGTCTGAGCCGGCCCCACTGCCTGGGTACCGCTTACCGTCCCAGCGACCAGCTGTGTCTGCTGTCTGTCCGCCGGCCGGTACCGGACCGCCTGGAGCCGACCGAGGAGCCGTGGGTGCTGGCGGCGCGCCGGGGCCTGGCCTTTCTCGACGAGCCGTGTGAGAGGGACGAGGACTGTCGGCTGGTCGTACCGTGGTCAGAGTGTCGGGCGGACGTCTGCGTCTGCCGCCACGCCGCTAACCGGACGGCCGAGGACGGGTGCGTGCCGCGCGGCGAGCTGGTGCCGGCGCCCGGCGGTCGGGCCGACGACAGCGCCCTGCTCCGCTCCGAGTCAGCCGTCGACAGCGACACCTGCCGCCAGCTGTGTGAGGAGGAGCCGCGCTGCCTGGCCGTCGAGCTGACCGCCGATAGTTGCCGACTCTTCTCCCAGGGAATCACTGCCTCCACTGGCGACAACAGCTCACAGAGCTGGACGCTGCAGCTGGAGGGCCCGCCCGGCATCCGTCCCGAGGAGCTACTGAACTTCGACGGTACCTGGTTCATCAACACCGTGGCTCCGGCGATGAATTTCACGGCAGCCTCGCGATTCTGCGCCAAACGTGCGGGCATTGTGTGGCCGGGTGGCTCGGAGGATACCTACCGGGGTCTGGTGAGCGCCGGTCATCTGCCTCCGTCGCCGGAAAGTTTCTGGGTCGGTTTGGATGACCTGATTCGCGAGGGAAAGTTCATCCGCAGTGATGGAGAGATGATGTCAGCATCCGACATGCCCTGGGCCGCCAACCAGCCAGACAACGCCGGTGATCTGGAGCACTGTGTCGTGGTGTTCAGCTCGGAGTACCAGCTCAACGATGCCACCTGCGGTCTGTTGCGGCGCTTCGTCTGTCAGGCTCTGGGCGAGAACGTGGCTCTCGGCCGACCGGCGTGGATGTCCACCAACCGCGGCGCGCCTCCGTCCCACGGCACCGACGGCCTTCTGGTGGAAGCTGTCCGAACGTCGACGCTGTTCAAGACCAAAGAGCAGGTGTGGACGGTCGACCTCGGCATGCAGCACCAGGTCATCGGCTTTCTGTACGCCGCACCAATGGCAGAAAATAAAGTCCATAAAAGGAACACCAAGGTGTATGTCAGCTCGGAGCCCCTGCCGAACGACTCGGATGTACTCTGTCGTCACCTCACCGTCCGGCTTCTGCTGGAGTGGATGGCTCGCTACTATGCCTGCGACTTCCCCGTTCAGGGAAGATACCTACACGTCACGAGGAAGGCGGGTCTCCGAGTCCTGATGTCGGAGCTCATGGTTTTTGGCCATCCAATCTATGAAAGCTAAAACGATAGCCGTACGACCTCCAAGTAACCAAGATCCTCCAAGATCCTCCAAGATCGATAACCACATGATGGATACGAATTTTGGTACCGTAGATGTGCAGTTTATTTCCTAGCTTGTTAGCTGGCTTACAAGGACGACCCACGATCCATATTCTTCTCTGGGAATCGTCAGGCTACATTTGGATCGCCACCTCTTCATTGTGTTTCGACTTTTGCATTAGAATTTTGATTGCACTGCCCTTGTAAGTTGTAGCCTGTAGGTAGGTACTGGCTCCGAAGCTCTTCATATTCGATATCTTACTGACGCACCATGAAAAGGTCATGCTGTAATTCGGTTATTGTGTCGACATTTAGGAATCTTCCATTTCGACATGCCTGAATGCCAAATGGTAACACTAGACTGTCGATTGAGCATTGATCACTGAAGCTGAACGTGACTTATTTTAGTTAGATGACGATATATTTTGAAACGCTGCTGTAAAAAAATAAAATAAATAAACGGTGCAGAATGGTGTGCTACCGACGCGACGGTGACCTGAGCGCGGTGGAGGCCAGGTGGTAAGGTTCCACCTTTGACCCAGAGTAGTACGGCCCATCGGATTGGTCGCACCACGGTCCACCAACTTCTGATCTCTGGCTTACCTGGAGCTGCGTGATAGTTTATTTACTGGCGGGCGGCGGCTAAGGTGTCAACGGTGCAAGCTGTTCTGCAACTCGTATTCTTTTAGAAGCCAACCATTGCAACTGTGAATCAAAACGTAACGGCCCGCAGACTGACTGTGCAGCTGAGTTTAATTCAGAGCTGTCATGGTTGAGATTGGCAGGGATGCTGGAGCGGAGGCTTTTCGGGCTTACATATGTCAAACTCGTCAAAGCGATCTTGTTTCGGAAAGGTTGAGTGGCTAGCCTGCCGAAATGGCGCCGTTCTGTGTAAATATCAGCCTGGCCCGGAACGGCGTAATTCAGCGTGAATTCAGTGGGTCTGCTGACGACCACCGGGCTCAGTAGTGCCCGAGCCGCCCGCTGTCGACTGAAGACTGCCGGACTCTACTGTGCTCCAGTCGCGTCCTGTCGTCTGACAACTGCCGGGCTCTACTGTGCTCCAGCTGCTTGCTGTCGTCTGCCGGCGGCCGGCGCCGCTCCGCTGGCCGGCGGCCGGTGCAGGGGCGCGGCCGCCGCCGTCCGGAGCTGGCGCCGATCCCGTCTGCTGACGTTGCTCGTCGGCGGCGCGTCTCGGTGACGTCGGCAGTCGTGACGCGCTGCTGCTCCCCTCCCCCTCCTTCGGGGATGTAGCGCCGTCAGAGGCCCCGCCTCGGTCCGTCCATTAGCCGGGCTGTTGTATTCTGCACTGTTCAATCTTCGACGGTTATGGGCTGGATAAACAAACCCCCCCCCCCCCCCCCCGTCCAGCGCCGTAGCACCGCTGTCACCGGCCGCTTCATGGCTGTCATCCTCCTGGACCGACGCCGCCTGGCACTGTGCGTGAGCGGCCCAGAATTCCGGACGCGGTCCGGGCCGGAGATGTCAGACAGACTCCGGACAGCGGACGGTCCGGCTCCGGACAGTTTAATTTATCCGCTCCAAGGTAAATAGCGCGCTATTCCTACCCGTCGGTCTCGGCTGGAAACCGGGTCAGTGCAGGGCTTCCGGTGCCGTCCGCGGGGGCCGACTGATGTCTGCCGGATTCCACCGGAGCTGTCATGGAGTCTGCCGAGTGTTCACTACTGGGTGCGGCCAATGCTTCTGCCGTCAGTCTGGTCGATGGAATTAAACGGTCTGTCGGTTTGGATCTTCTTGCTGGATCCGTCTTCTATGACTGTCAGTTGCACGGCAACTGTCCGTGATCCATCATCGTGACTTCTGTGCCCGGATTTAGGTAAGGCTCGAATAAACGTTATTTATAAGTAAAATCAAATTGTGTTTTACGAATAGGCATTCCAACAGAACAATGAATGTGATCATATTTGTGTATTGCTTGTTTTTACCTGTCGCGGTGAGGTCTCATGTGTTTCCCTGTCCCCCGCCGAGTGACGTCACTGACGAGTGAGGGGCTCTCCGTCACACCCCACCCGTCCCGGACGCTGCGGACCCCCGCAGCGCCCGCGGCTCTCCACTCGAGAGGAGCCAGTCGGTAAATCACGGCGGTGGTCGAGGAGCGCCGGTGTGTGTGCTCTCCAGATTCGTCGCCTCCTGTCTGTCTGCCCGCGCCGCGTGCGATACGCCTGTGCGTCGCCGGGCGGGTCGTGTCCGTATCGGGTCGTCGATAGCACCCCGCGGCGGCCCACCGACGGCTCGGGTCGGTCGGCGGCGGCCGGGCGCGGGCAGGCAGTGGTCAGCCGACTGCCGGCGAGGTGACACGGGACGAGACCGGGCTGATCGGGCAGACGTCTGCGCGACAGACGGAGCAGTGAGTGTGAGCGCGGAGGTGAGAGGCGTGTGGTACAGGTGGTGAGAAGGATACCCAGTGCGCGGCGCAGGTGGTGAGATGACCCCCGGTGAGCGGCGCAGGTGATTGGGTGGGCGCCATCATGGGCTGCACGGCGAGCGGGCCGGCCGAGGCGCGCCGTCGCCGCTCCTCAGCCAACTCGACCAAACAGGCCAGCGTCACCTTCGGTAAGCGGGCCGCTGCGTCTGGCACCGACGACGGCGCGCACACGCACGGGCGTCCCTCTCCCCCCCCCCCCCCCACCCCGCCCCCAGTGCCACCTTCTCGACCCTGTCCCCCTCCCCTCCCCTCCCATAGCGATCCTGTCACGTCTGCCCTCCCTTACCCCCGAGCAACAGTGGGTTGTCATATTTGCGTTACACTCAAACGTTTTCCTGTGAATCATGTTGCTATGCGTTTGGCTTTTATTGGCTTTCGATTATTCACCCTGCTCATCAAGTTAAAGGGAGACACACCGTTTATACAGTACTCATGCCTTCTTGCTGTTGCCGACAAAATATATAACCATGGGATTGATCAGAAGATGTGCTACGGTAGGTATAGGTCCGCTGAAGGGGAGGGGACGTGCGTTAGCCAGCGGAACTGCTCTGATATGCGATGCGTGCTACTGCGTCCCTCCTCCCCCTCCCCACCTGGGGAGCCCCTGTCGTGCGTTGTGACCATCCCCTCCCCCCGTCCCATACCTCGCACGCGGAGTGAAGCATGCGTGTTATATTGTGCCGTAAAACGCGTGTTGTGTTTCTCTCTCCGTGCCGTCACCTGTAGCTTTAGTTACTCGTTGAGACTGTAGTTAGTAGCTGCCAGAAGTTTCTCGGATTCCGGCGGATCTGACAAGCGGAGATCACTTTCATATGCCCGCAGGTGCTGACTTTCTTCTCATCGATTGGTTCCTGGCCCCTCTATCGATTTATTATAACACCTACTGCGTGTTGTGTTGTGTAAACATCGATATTATTATACGTAAACAGAAAGGAGACACCTACGTAAGTAAACGATGCATCTTGAGTAATCCGAGTCCATGCGTCACATCGCTACTCAACGTGCCGTTAGGAACCACACCCAGAAACCAACCACCACAGTCACCCATCACCTACTCACCACTGACTTAGACAGTATAACATCGGGCAACCTGATATACCGCAGAGCCAGCATCAGTGTCAGCGGGCGTAGGCAACGTTGGCGTCGGCCGAGGCCGTGGTGGGCTGGGCTCCCCTTACTGTGTTTCAGTTTTGAGACACTGCTGGCCACGAGTGGAATAATGTGTGACCGACAGTATCTAAGGTAATAGAGGTGGAGCTCTGTGGCGACAGACTCGCCCGTCTCGTCGCGCTGTTGTGAAGTACTACAGGAGCGGCACGGAGGGAGGGCGTTATCTGTCGCCGGGCCGATACGGCCCCGGCCCGGCCCCACGCGGACGACCACGGCGCCGCGCCCTGGCCGCCGCGCTGACACGCACACACGCAGTCCCCGACGGTCGCTGGCGCCCGACCCGGTCGTGTCAGCACGCAGCCGCCGCTGCTTGTCAGTCGCGCATACAAAAACGAAGGCAGCGAGCTGGCCGAGGGAGAATGAGGCGAATGGCTCTGCCAACGCCGCATTATACACAGCTCGAGTTGCGTGGTGTGCCGGTGTTTTGACGAGCTGCCAGTGTGAATCTTACCTACCGTGTTGTGTTTTGTTGGTAAAACGTCTGATGAGTCGTGTAAATAACATAACAAGTTTGTGCGTCACGCACTGGTGCCGGTCTTTCGATACCGAGCCTTGCGGCACAGCATACCTTCAGGCGCGCGCTACCAGTGCCATCTATGGGCGGTTGCCTGAAGCTATCCAGTGTGAGGCGAACCGGTCATTTCCAGACGCAGTGTGTCGGTGTGGGCGGAGACTCCATGACGAGATTGGCGGCTAATTCTGTCCGCAGTTGGCCAGCCTGTGGTCTGCAACGGCGACTTCTGCGCATCTACACAAATGGTCTCGGGACAGCTCCCAAAATAATTCCATTCGATATTTTTCATTGCTTGCTAACGCAATTTATTACGGATTCACATGTTAAATGATAGAATCAATGTAAGTGTAACAAGATAAACATATTCCATATTGAATACAACTCCTAATGGGCAGAAGCATTATGTCCCGTATCACACCGCTTTGAATGTAAAAGCTCACAGAAACTTTCCATATCCAACAACTATGCTCCTTCCAAATGTCTTTTTGAAAATCGCCTTTATTTTACCAACATCACCGGACTATACTTGGCACAATAGCGAAGTGTGTGATCTCTTGCCACCGGGCGCGAAATTGCTTCCATAGCTTGTGTGCCTTTTAGGTCGCTAATTCATCATCATCATAAATTACTCTCGGGCCGAGAGCCTCATTGTGGCCCGAACGGCCAAGGTCAGGGATGGGAACTTTGACTGCTACGGGGACAGAGGTGAGGGCAGCAGCGACGGAAGCGACAGAGTGTTTGGGAAGTAGGGTGGTGCTGAGTCAGCAGCAGCTGCGACATTATTAGACAATAGAGAGCAGAGCCATCGACGCTCGTATGCATCCCGGTGGCGCACAGGAATCTGGAAGGGCCTTATAAAACGGACGGCCCGCCAGGGGCTCGTCTAGTTTGAGTGGCGAGAGCGATGTAAGCACACGTCACTGACAGCATTGGAGGTAGAATTCGGATATTGAGAGTGCTCAGATGTTCTGAATACTTACAGTTGGCGTTAAACACTTCAAAATAAAACTGAGGAAAGAAAATGATGAAGCTTCAACTATCCGGCTAAGAACGTCCTGACTGTAGCTCAGTAACTTGAATATTATGTGTACCTTGATTGATTGATTATATCTATCGCCGCTTAGAATAAAACCAATCTTTTTTGTCTGAGTTATTAGGAGCCCATATTTCTACAGGCGAGAAACATTTAACATCCAAGGGCACCTTTAGCAGCTAGCCAGAAGCGTCCTGCATGCATCCAAGTACCGATACAGTAGACTGAAATGGCACTTCTCTAACAGGCTTAAAACTTAGTTTTGACCAATCGATAAGGAACACGGATGTGTTGTTTGAGCCACTGTCTCACCCAATTAACGTCCAGTAGAGTCCCTGTCACTTCCAGTTATTGGCTGAGCTATGTTTAGGACTCCAGAGGAAAACGTAAAACGAGAGACCACCGATGTCGATTCGATGTTCGTTTGTCTCAGCTTGTCTGAATGGTGCAAACTGAAAAGATTCACCAAGTTGTCGCTGATAAGTACATATTTTAACACTTATGTATTTATGTACCTATGTACGTACTCTGACTAATCCGATCGGAAAACCCTGGATAAGCGCCAAAGATTTCCATCGTATCATAAACCCACACCGCTGAAAATGACTCGACAAGCTCAGATCACTGGTATCGACGACACAACACCAATGTTATGTTTGATCCAACGTTTACCCCACGGAGTTAGCTCGGAGGCCTCTACCTACTGCCCGACGCGCGACTCTCCCGTCCCCACCTCAGCGTGGTGACATCCCCCTGTACGTGTCCGGAGCCGATCTGTATCGGTCGGCTACCCTAATGATCGGCGCACCCAGTGTCCCCAGAGACCGGACGGGACGATATGCCAGTTAAAGGAAAAGGGTCACCTTTAACATGGGGATTGAAACTGAGATAGCCATCTTGTAGCCCGTGTCCGAAAACCCTCCAGTCTATCTCCTTACGGCCGATTTCGGCTTCCATTCGTAGGTATCGGCAATTTTAAAAGAGGAATGCGTCCTTATCCCAGGAATGCGTCCTTACCCTGTAATACAGCCACCCGCGGCGAGGCTTTGGTTTTTTACCAATCAGCTCCAAGCAGCTCAGCTTTAACCAATCAGCTTATCTGACACAATCCGACGAGTCTGTCTTCTGAGCGCTGATTGGCTTGAGTGTGACGTCATCGCTATGCCATCATACACAGTAGGTGCCGTAGAGAGTATCAACATAGTACCAATATGTTAAATAGTTTTAAATACTTTTTCGCGAATTGTGCACTTCTGGCACCAGTTTTAAAAAGAAAATGAAAAATAATAATGTCAAAATGAAAAACAACGATATCTTCATATTTCACGAAGGTGGCCCTTTTCCTTTAACCCGCGAGTTGCTGGGGGGGGGGGCGTTAAACGCCCCCACTTTTTTCGCCGGGCCATAGCATAAAAACGGCGCGCCGCAGGCGCGCCAAATTTTGGGTACCTGTAGGGAATTGATTGAAGTTTATTGTGACAAAGTTTCAAAAAAATCGGTCGGAAAATTTTTGAGATATCAAGGTTTTAGTGACGTCATGATTTCCGAGTTTTCGACCAAAAACGGCATATGTTCAAAAAATCATATAAAATCACAGAATAGACATAGAGACATGCCGTAAACGCCATTAGACTGCCAATACCATGAACAATCAAATGGCTATCTTCGATTATTGATTATCGTTCCGCATTTTCCATAATCTTGAACTGAATCTTGGCAATTTTTCGTGAATACTTCACGACCATGATACATGCATTTCTTAAATTGAACTTTTTGAGCCAAACACGTACACATATGATAAAATGAATGTCACCATCGTGTTCCACGCCCCAAATTACCTATAAAACATGTGTCACAGGCTGCGAATATCAGTTTTGATTTTCGGGGATATGTGCCTACCCGGTTGACCTGACCTTGACCCTGACCTATGCTTGACTGACCCCTACATGGAGCGGACACTATTGTAGGCCTTATATGATGGATTGTGCACCGTTTTGACAGAGTTTATGACGAGAGGCGCCGATTGTGAAGTCCTGAAGTCCATGCTACTGAAAGCCCGATTTCAGGTGTTTGACCTGACCTTGACCCGACCTGTGACCTCAAAATTCAACTTTAAAGTACTCATCTGAAGCGTCTCGTCGCGCTCTTTCGTTTGCCGCCTCGTGCGTTTCGCTGCGCCTATTGGTTCTCGAGTTACCGGCTGGGGGCGTTTAACGCCCCCCCCCCCCAGCAAACGGTGGGTGGCGAAATACCCCAGCAACTGCCGGGTTAATGTGCAACCCGGCACCGGTCGCAGCTGTAGATTAGGCTAATTCCCCGGCCAAATGAACCAGCCGACCGACGCAATAGTGGCGAACGGCTGTTCTTCGTCTGCGTTGGATGGGAAGCGTAATTACGACTTGCGTCGTATG